TGGCAGCTGATCCAGATTTGAAAGGAATATGACCGTTCTTGAAGGCAGAGTAAAGATGCTCGTTCTGTATCAAGTTCTAAGATAAGAAGACAAATGCTAATCAAACTACCCCTGATAAGTTTTCTATAAAGAAATAAAAATTGTCAATATTTTTAATATTTTAAATTATAGTGTACTAAATATTTAAAGTTTTTTTTTTTAAAGATTTTATTTATTTATTTATTTGAGAGAGAGACTGAGAGAGAGAGAGCATGAGAGGGGGGAGGGTCGGGAGGGTCAGAGGGAGAAGCAGACTCCCTGCCGAGCAGGGAGCCCGATGCGGGACTCGATCCCGGGACTCCAGGATCATGACCTGAGCCGAAGGCAGTCGCTTAGCCAACTGAGCCACCCAGGCGCCCAATATTTAAAGTTTTTATTTTATATCCTTGTACTTCTGTAACCAAGAGTGAGAGGGATTGTAATGTTTTAATAAAGATTTTTAGAAGTCCGAGGACGATCATACGTTTCCCATCAATTATTAAGATTGCACAGTCATTGCTATGATCCCACACTACTGTGTGAAGCAAGGACTGCTTGTGTGTCTACTCACTAGTGGGTGGATGTACCTGATTTGCTATAAACTGTTAACTGAGGGAATAACCTTTCTTTTGTTGCTGTGATTGGCCTATGTTATGGCCTAGGTTATGAGTTTTTGAGACTCTCACTTACTTGCAAGAGCTGATGATCACTGCTTGGGTTATCATATTCTCCTCCATCCCTGTACATTACCCAGAGGACATTTATACACAGAAAGTATCTCCAGTAATCTAACAATTCACTGTTAAAAACCTATGTAATATATAATGATGTTATTGACTTGTTTATGATTTAAAGTGTTCAAATCCTTTCTATTTCTTTAGTGAGATAAAAACAGGGGCCTCTAAGGCACTCATTTTTCTTTTTAATCATAAAAAGTTATTCTGAACATCAAACTAGTAAAGAATTTTATTTTAGTGTTAAAAAATACAGAGATCTTCATAGAAATAGAACAAATTCGGACGCCTGGGTGGCTCAGATGGTTAAGCGTCTGCTTTCGGCTCAGGTCATGATCCCAGGGTCCTGGGATCGAGCCCCGCATCGGGCTCCCTGCTCAGCGGGAAGCCTGCTTCTCCCTCTCCCACTCCCCCTACTTGTGTTCCCTCTCTCACTGTGTCTCTCTCTGTCAAATAAATAAAAAAATAAAATCTTAAAAAAAAAATAGAACAAATTTGAGGACACTGGGGTCCACATTAGTTAAAAAACAAACAAAAACAAAATAAGAAAAAACCCAGCTCTGTTGTCTCAGAAGCTTTAAATGGAAGACAGGGTGTGAACACACCCAACTTCAAACATGCCAGGGGTAAGTAACATGAGCATGGCAAGCGCGGGGTTTGCATTTCCTGGTCACTGATCGAGAGACCACAAGACTAGAAGTTGTTTTGGGGCACCTGGGTGGCTCAGTTGGTTAAGCGACTGCCTTCGGCTCAGGTCATGATCCCGGAGTCCCGGGATCGAGTCCTGCATCGGGCTCCCTGCTCGGCAGGGAGTCTGCTTCTCCCTCTGACCCTCCTCCCTCTCGTGCTCTCTGTCTCTCATTCTCTCTGTCTCAAATAAATAAATAAAAATCTTTGAAAAAAAAAAAAAAAAAAAGACTAGAAGTTGTTTTGAAACTGTTTTCTCACCAAAGCAGTAATGTCTGAGAGTGTCTAACAGTTGAGGTCTCATTTATCCTGCGGCTTTTCACCTGAATATTATTTAGGCCCACTACATGGTAGAAGCCATTAAACATCCGTGCACTTCCTGGCCACTTCAGTTGTGACAGTGAATTGTTAGATTATTGGAGATACTTTCTGTGTATAAATGTCCTCTGGGTAATGTACAGGGATGGAGGAGAATATGATAACCCAAGCAGTGATCATCAGCTCTTGCAAGTAAGTGAGAGTCTCAAAAACTCATCCATTTTAAACTCAGATTTCTAGCTGTGATTTTCTTTAGTACTAAAACTGCAAATACAGCACATATGTTAAGGCCAAAAGCTTCAAAGATTAAATCACCCTTAAGGAGTTCCTTACCAGTATTGGTGTTGGTCTTGTCATGCAGGAAATTGAGGCAGGTTGGTGTTGTTCCTGGAAGCTGCTATTGGGATTGTTTTGAAGTCCAGTTAAACTGTATTTCAAGAAAAACTCATTATAGAGATGGCATCTATATGTTGCTGGTAAATGCTATATAGCTTTAAACCATCTTCTGGTTATCAGCACCTTTCCTTTCTATTGAGGCACACAGTTTACATAACATAGAATTAACCATTTTAAAGTATACAATTCATTGTATATATGAACCACATCTTTATCCATTCATCTGTTGAAGGACGTCTCAGCTCCTTCCACAGTTTGGCTATTGTGGACATGGCTGCTTTGAACATTGGGGTGGAGGTGCCCCTTTGTTTCACTACATCTGTATTTCTGGGGTAAATCCCTAGTAGTGCAATTGCTGGATCGTATGGTAACTCTATTTTCAACTTTTTGAGGAACCTCCCTACTGTTTTCCAGAGCGGCTGCACCAGCTTGCATTCCCACCAACAGTGTAGGAAGGTTCCCCTTTCTCCGCATCCCCGCCAACACTTGTTGTTTCCTGTCTTGCTAATTTTTGCTGTTCTAACTGGTGTGAGGTGGTATCTCATTGTGGTTTTGATTTGTATTTCCCTGACGGTTAGTGATGTTGAACATTTTTTCATGTATCTGTTGGCCATTTGTATGCCTGCTTTGGAGAAGTGTCTGTTCATGTCTTTTGCCCATTTATTGATTAGGTTTGATTGCTCATCTAGGTATTTCAATATTTGTCGACAGAAAAAAATCATTGTATGCCATTCATTTATGAAGTAATGGAGATGATAATGCTAAAAAAGTATACAATTCAGTGGCATTTGGTACACTCATGGTGTTGTGCAAACATCATCTCTATCTAGTTCCAAAATATTTCCATCACCCCAAAATAAAACCCCATGTCCATCAAGCAGTCACTCAGCATTCCCTCCTCCCTCCAGCCCCTAGCAACCACCAATGTGCTTTCTGTCTCTAGGGATTTCCCTGTCCTGGACATTTCATCTAAATGGAATCATACAATATATGGTCTTTTGTGACTAGCTTCTTTCGTTTAGCATCACGTTTCCCAGGTTCATCCGTGTCCTATATATGAGCACTTCATTCCTTTTTGTGTCTGAACAACATCCCATTATATATATGTGCCGCATTGTGTCCAGTCATCCATCATTGGACATTGGGGTTGGTTCCACCTCTTGGCTCTTGGGAATAAGACTGCTATAAATGCTTGTGTACAAGGATGTGAACATTTGTGTACCAGTACCTGTTTTAAAATATTTTGAGTATATACCTAGGAGTGGAATTGCTGGGTCTTCATTGTATATTTAACTTTTTGAGGAACACCAAACTATTTTCCACTCAGCAGTGTTTGTTTGTACCATGCGTAAGGAGGAACTCCTTCCCATTCTTGATACTGCTTCGGGTTCACTCCCTGCCCCTCAGTCTACCCCAAAAGAGGTAGCGTGGCTCACCTGATTGTTCTCCTTGTGAGTCTGCCTTCAGAATGTGCGTCTTCCTCTCCTCTTCTCTGTGCCAGCACCTCTAGATGGAGAGCCCTGTCCTGGTCTGTGCTGACGGGACTCCATGGACAAGTATGGGTCTTCCAGTATTCTGTATTCCACTTAGGCTTTAGTCTCTTAAATTGGCCTCTGGCTGAACAAATGTTGATCTGTGTCTTTTAATTTGGTTTGTTTTATTTTTCAAATAGTCTGGTATCTATAGTAGAGTTCAGTACGTTATTGTGGCTTCCTTTGGAGATGCCACAATTTAGGGTATCAAAGTTAAGCCAGAAGAATTTGAACTTCATAGATATGTTCTAGATTTGGAGACTTAACATCTAAAAGCCACTTAATGTTAGCATTGTCAACTTGACAAAGTCATCTAGTATTTCAACTTCAATTTCCTTGTCAATAAAAATGGGGGAATCTTATTCACTTTCTTTATATAATAAATATGCCATAGAGTGCACTTAAGTATCAAAGCAAGTGCACACTAACGTAAGACCCAACACAAGAGTAAAGTTGTATGTAACTTAAATTTCCCTTTCAAATATTTGAACACACCTTTCTTGTAGTAAATGATTTTTTATAGTATAAGAATATATCTGAATTTTAAAAACTTGACCATAAAATTCCCAGCAGGGTGATAGCTACAGGTATATGGTGCAGACAGGGAAGTTGGTAAGTGTCTAATCGCCAAGTAAAAGATAGGTAACTTTTTATGGTAAGCATTCACCACCTAACACCTGATGATGCGGCCAGAGTGCCTGGCCACTTCTCCATAAAGGCCTATTTATTGATTGATTGATTGATTGATTTAAAAGATTTTATTTATTTATTTGACAGAGAGACAGCGAAATAGGGAACACAAGCAGGGGCAGTGGGAGAGGGAGAAGCAGGCTTCCCGCCGAGCAGGGAGCCCGATGTGGGGCTCGATCCCAGGACCCTGGGATCATGACCTGAGCCGAAGGCAGACGCTTAATGAATGAGCCACCCAGGCACCCCTATTTATTTTTAAAGATTTATTTATTTAGTGTGTGACTGACCCAGGGGGGTGGGGGGTGAGGGGCAGAGGGAGAGAATCTCAAGCAGACTCCATGCTGAGCACGGAACCCCACGTGGGGCTTGATCTCCCAACCCCGAGGTGGTTGACCTGAGCTGAAATCAAGAGTATGTTGCGCAACTGACTGAGCCACCCAGGTGCCCCCATCAAGGTCATTTTAAACTCTGGAATTTAAGAAGTGATGGTTATTTTGAAGAAAAACATTTTGAGAAAGCTCTGTAACTATATAAAGAAAGTTTTGTGAATTCACATGGCATCATCACTAGATAGCCTGAATATATCTCCAGTAAAAAATGCTCTTGTCTTTTCAAATTATCTTAGGTGACGCGTCACCTTGCCAAACTCTTTGACAGCATTGCAGATCTGCAGTTTGAAGAAGGTCAGGATGTGTCCATCCACAGAGCAATTGGAATGTACAGCAAAGAAAAGGAATACGTCCCGTTCCAAGCCGAATGCGAATGCATAGGCCACGTAAGATTTAATGATGAGATGTTCTGTGCTATGGGAGTATTTTGGGGATAATTTTTAAAGGTTGACTTGAATAAGAAAAAAATCAGCTGCTATCAAATCAGGCCCTGGTTGGTTTGGAGATCAGAGCTCCCTGTTTAGCCATGTCCAGTCTGACCTCCATGTCACGCCGGAATCCGCCATGTTTCCCCCTTTGTGCCCATGTGGCTTCAGCACCCTGCAGAGTCTCAGAAATGCTAGCAGTTGAGCTCGTCAGGAAGGATTGTCGCAGGTTGAGTGAGTGGACCCCAGAAGGAGAAGCAGGTGCCAGCCCAGTGACAGAATCTCCTGCAAAGCTTACTGGTTTCACCACTGAGAGTTGGGGTGAAGCAGCACCTTGTAGAAAAGCATGTCTTAAAGGGGCTTGTGGTTCAGGATTGCGATGTGAATGTTCTAAATGGCTGCTCATAAATAAAGTTGATGGCATCTACCACACTGATGTCATGTTCCCTAATAAATGTTCACAGTTAAGTTAGCATATTCTCTCCTCGCACAGCCAAATACCTCAAAAATATTCTTAATGATTAACGGCGAGAATGGCTCATTATGATTTATGAAAGAGCTCTTGGTGTTTCCACATGATGTGGAGGAATTGCATCTTTTTATAATGATGCTTGTGTAGCTTGAGTTAATCCACAGAGTCACTGAGACAGTAGCCTCCATTCCAGAGTTGTTTGGGTTGAGGCGGGGTTCCTTAAAATGTCCCTTGCAGAAATGTGATGGCAGGCTTTTTTTTTTTTTTTTTTTTTTTTTTTTTAAACAGGGGTTTTCTTTCTTTCTCTCTGCTGCTTTTTAATATTGTACCAAGAAATCCTGCCAAATGAAGGGGAAGCAGATGGTGGAATACTTTGATTAAAATATATTTTTTGATCTCTTGGGCTCTTTAGGATATTATTACAGTGATTAGAAAAGTCACCATAAACTATCTTGACAAAAGTGTGTTGCTGTCTGCTCCCTCCCTGGCAGACTGCAAGCCGACTGGCATAGTGCCCAGAAGGAGGACAGTCCACTTGACGGATGTGGTTGTCGCTCGCGGGAACCCTTGGTACTGAGCATTTTCACAGTGCTCTCATTTGTTCTGTGTAAGCAGTTTAGGCCAGAGACTGGAGCATACACCACATTGATCCTCTAATTGCCTTTGTTTGATAAAAAGATGCTTTTCCTTTAGGTCTTTACTCCCCCACCCCCGCACCGTGATGATTAGTTCCTCCCAATGTAGACTATTTGTATTTTGTTTGATTAGTGTTGATTGAATACCTACTATGTACCAGATGCTGGGTTAAGCTTCTGGGGATCCAGAAATGAGTAAGACATGGTCCCTCTCTTGGAGGAGCTCTTCGGCTCCTTGAAGAAATGAATAGTTGGCAATAATGGGAAGTGGTAATTGTTGTTATAGAGGGTCAGGCAGAAGTTGAAGAAACACCAGAATCAAACAACATCTCATCAGAGCTTAGTTCTCAGATCACGCTGAGCTAAGTAGCCATTGTTGGCATAGTCATTTGAACAGGAGATGATCCATCAACTTATATGTGTGTTTGGTCTTCCCAGATGGACTGGAAAGTTCTTACGAGGAGGTGGCCAAGTTGAGGACAGGGATCCCAGAATGTTTGGGAAATGCTCAAATGATGTCTGATTTCCTGAAGGAACTAGTTGCTGGGTGACATCAAGTGTTGTGCTTAGTGACTAAAGTATTGATGGGATCAGAGACCTTGAACTCGGGCACATGAAACAAAACCCAGTTACAAAGTCAGAGGGAAAGGCTCTTGGGATGATGGGGCCCATTGCCAGGGCAGTGCCACCTTTTTCTTTCAGTAGGGAAGGCTGTCACCTCATTAACTACACAGTACTGCTTCCCAGTTCTCCAGAGAAAGATTCTAGGAATGAATGTTTCTGCCATTTTCACAGACACAGGGGGAATAAAAGGTTTTTTGTGTTTTTTAAGATTTTATTTATTTATTTATTTATTTGAGAGAGAATAAGAACGAACATGAGTGGGGGTGAGGAGAAGAGGTGGAGGGTGAAAGAATCTCAAGCAGACCCCGTGCTGAGAGCAGAGCTGATTGAGGGGCTTGATCTCACCATCCCTGAGACCATGACCTGACCTGAAACCAAGAGTTGGACGCTCAACTGACTGAGCCCAGGCGCCCCCCAAAAAACAGTTTTAACATCTTCACGATCTCATATGGTCCTTGGAATTGATTTATTATCATCATTTTTTATTGCTGAGGTCAACTATTTGTGGATAGTGTACATATCTTTTTCATTAGATAATATCATCCCATGGAAACAGATATGTGGATAAATATAACAAAGCATATTTGAATAGGTTAGAAAATGGGTTAAGATAAATTTGTGGGGGCAAAATATACTTGCATTTAAAAAAAAAAAGATTAAGTTTCACAAGTCAGCAGTTGTCCTATCTCTTATACTCTCCTGCTGTCTAATTTTTGACAAGTGTGAAGATGAGAACCAGTAGGGAATATAATTAAGACACTTTCTGGAAGCACTTTGTCTTAAGACTAAGAACTAGGAAGATTTTAGAGAAGAATTTTCAGTATATTTAAAAATTATTTTAAAAAACATTAAAAAAAAATCAATCTACCATTATCCCCAAAGCTCTAGAATATTACTCCACCATATTACTCTATCTACTAGATGGCTGTGATGTTTGGTTTCTCACAACACTGTGCATTACCACAGGGGATCTCGGTCCAGAACCCCCTTGTCTTCAGATGTGAAAAATCAGTAATTAAGAACCCCTCCTCTGTTGAGGCTGCAGAAAGTTATTAGCCATCCAGTAGGTGAAATAAGTTGAGCAGTATCCTGGGAGAAGACAGGTTCAATGGAATTCATCCATTGTTCACCTTATCCTTGGAGTTATATACCTCCTCTAGTTTTCTACCTGGATTTGAAATAAATCCGGGGCTCCTGGGTGGCTCAGTCGGTTAAGCATCTGACTCTTGATTTCGGCTTAGGTCGTGATTTCAGGGTGGTGAGATCCAGCCCCACATCCAGCTTAAGATTCCCTCCCTCTCCCCTCCCCCCATTCATGCTCCTCTGTGCTCTGTCTCAAAATAAATAAATAAATCTTGAATATAAACACACCTGAGGCCTCTCTCTCTGCATGGCTTTTAAGCCCGTGGGAGGGTGGAATTATCTCTCTTCCAGAGTTAAGCCTGTGCTAAATCATTTCAACTTGCATCAAAAGGTGGAAATGTGGCTCCTGGGACTTGAAAAGACGATGCAGGAAACAGTGCGACATTCCATCACAGAGGCCATAGCTGCCTATGAAGAAAAACCTAGGGAACTGTGGATCTTGGAGTTCCCCGCCCAGGTTGCACTCACAGGCTCACAGATCTGGTGGACGACAGATGTAGTGATAGCCTTCAGTAGACTGGAGGAAGGCTATGAAACGGCCCTAAAGGACTTCCATAAAAAACAGGTATTTTATAGACGTGATTTCAAGGCTTGAAGGGACTTGAAGAGGTTGGCGTTCATCCCTCCATCATTTAGGGGAGTGTTTTCTGTGTGCCAGGCACTATGCTAGGACTATTTCAGCAATCAGTGGTTTGACTTTTCTTTCTCTAGCTTTGTGTTATCTTTCTGGATTGCTACATGGGTTAAAAAAAAAAAAAATCACATCACTCATCCCCCAAGTCTCTAGTATATCACATGTACTTAGACACTGTGCCTATTTCTGTCATTCTGTGTAAGACTCTCCATCTAGGCTAATGGAGTATTTATTACAAAATATGTACATGATTTGCATGACTCAGAGAGATGGAGAGCTCTTCGGCAAAGACAGATGTTTTCATGTATTTTGGGTTTTGGTTAATTACAGATCACAGATGAGCAATTGTGGAAAATGATCTATTTCGAATTCCATTTTATTCACCCCGCTTACCCTGTGACCTCTACGTGAGCCTCCCGACTTAAGGTGTGCTCCTAGTTGTGGAACAGTTCAGAGATTTGGCCTTTTTTATTGGCTTTTAGATTTGGAAAGTATTTAAATATTAGTGTGTTTACCTTTCTTATTTTCAGTGGATGAAGTGTGAATCCAGAGACATTAAGCGATTTCCCCAATGTTGTACAATTTGTAAGTAACACTGGCAGGACCAGCAGAATTCAGAATGCTTTCCACTGCTCTCTATTGCTTGTCCTCTTAGCAGGACTTTTAATTCAGTCCCTGAAAAGTCAAATAGATGCAGAGGATGAAGGATACTTGTATTGTTAACATATTCAGGAATTTTAGGTTTTAGAGTGTTTTGATTATTTCTTTTAATTTTGCTTGAATCTTGAGTAGAGATCACCTGACTCATTGATGTTATTAAAGAAGTCTTTGTATTGTTTCCTTTGGAGAGAAGTATATTCTTGATGTACATCTTTAGGAAAAGAGGGCATTGGTTTATATTGAGCTGGGTTTAGGTTACAAGATTGGATTTTCAAAAGTGACTGGTTTCCTCCTAGGGCAATAGCTCTACAGTTCAAGTCAATGCCACTTGGATGAGGAAGCTAAGTAGGTAATTTTTTTTTATGAACATTAATAGTTCATTAAATTGCAATTATATTATGGTTTTATAAAAATAAGTTTCTGGTTAGTTAATTTATTGATATCTGTGCATTTATTAAAAGTACTTTCATTATCTATTGAAGAGAGGATTTTTTTAAAAAATTCTAACGTCCTTTCAGATTTCAGGTATTATCAGTCATTGCTCAAACTTAAACTTTTCAGCATACATATTCCTACTTTATTTTTCCCTTGCTTCATTTAATTATCTCTTTGCTTACAAGATACCATTTTCTGTGATAATTAAATATTTAATTGCTTAAAACAGTAAATTATGTGTTATGGATATTTCTTCTATCAACTTTATTTTCAATGTCATGATTTCTTTATTAACGTGTGTTATTAAAGATTTAGAAGAAGAAAGTACAGGTTGAGAAAGAAAAAAAGGAAAATAATTTTTAGAAAACACCCATAGCCTAGACTTCTCTTCCCACTGGTGATCACTGATGACGTTTTGGCATATAGACGTCAAAAATTTTTCCTCTTTCTTTGTGAATGTGTAGACATCTATCTGTCTCTCTTTAAATATACGTCCATTTGTAGCTATTTACATAAATGTGTATTTGTGCTGATATGTGTCAATTATCTAAATATACATAGAAAAAATATTTTTTACATGTAATACATTGTTACTTTGTATTTTCACTCAATGTATTGTCTACCTTTTTTCTTGCTGTAAATATGTATCAAATTGACAATAAAAATGGCCAAATAGTATCCCTTTATCTGGGTATTCCAGAATTTATTTCCTCCCTTCTCTAGGTCTACTCTGATAGTCTGAGAGCTCATCAAGCACTGGTGTAGGTTCTGTGGTTCCAGCAGTGAAGTTCTTGACTTCACGGTGCTTATGTTCTGGCTCACTGTTAATAGATCTTACCTCTTCCTCGCAAGGACGGTGGAAATCTTTATTCTGATATCCACTTCCTATTTTACATGCTGCTGTTTAATTTTTTAAAAAGATTTTATTTATTTACTTTTAGAGAGAAACCATCAGCAGGGAAAGGGGCAGAGGGAGGGAATCTCAAGCATACTCTGTGCTGAGCGCGGGGCTCGACGTGGGGCTCGATCTCACCACCCTGAGATCACAACCTGAGCTGAAACCAAGAGTCAGACACTTAAGCGACTGAGCCACCCAGGCATCCCTAATTTCATTTTTTTAAATCAGATTTACCAACATATTAAGCAGTGACTTTGTTCATTATTTTTTTACCCCATTTCTTATTTTAAAATCCAATTCCCTTCCTCCTGTAGTGTATGTTTTAGTGGTTTATGCAGTGATGGATAATAAGTAGGACATTTTCTGATCCTTGTCTTTCTTTTGACTTCTTTCTTGATAGATAAGGCCTAAAATTCTAAGTTGAGAATTATTTTCTTTCAGAACTTTAAAAAATATTCTGTTATCTTATGGCCTTCATTGGTGCTGTAAACTTTCAGGTCAAATTATTTTTCCTTCATGTTAATTGTAGGAACATTTGGTCTTTGGTCTTTGGCTGCTTTTATGAATTTTTTTCTTTTTGTGGTTGTGATGTTTTCTTCTATTGTATCTACTTGAAGATTTTTTTCTCTTGCTTTTACAATTTAGCTGCTAAGTACTCTGTGAACTTCTTGAATCTTCAGTTACATGTCTGTCTTAACTTTGGAAAATTCCCCTTCATTTTTTCTTTGATTGATGCCTTTCTTCCATTTGCTCTATTTTTTCATTTAGAATTTTATCTGCTATATGTTGAACCTTCTCATGCCCTCCATCTTTTAACCTCTTATCATATTTTCAAACTCTCCATTTTTTTGTGCTGTAACTTAGGTTATTTTTTTCTCTGTAGGAATTCTGTGTGCCCTGAAGAGAGTGTGCATCCCCATAGTGTGTTTCTCTTCCTTGCTTCTTCCAAGTTTTGTGGATGCTGGGTTAATTTTGTGGTTGGTTACTCAGTTGAGGATTTCCAGATCACAGGGCATGGGCTTGAGGTTTTGATATCTCTAAAGGGACTTTTTTCCTCTCCAAAGGCTTTCATCTTGCTTCTCTGAGCTGGTCGGTAGAATTTTTCTAGAGCTCTTTCTTAGACTATGTAAGACTCTGAGAATCTCAGCTACATGTTAGCATCTCAATTCCAACTCACGGCCTTGCTCAGGGAGTGTGAGAGGCAGGAGACAGAAATGTTGTGTTCCTGTGTGGCAGTTTAAATCTCAGTTTCCAGATGTTTGAATCTGTACCCAAATCCTACATTAGGCTTCCATGACATTTGCTACTGTTCTGGCTTTGAGGCGCATTCCTGGCATCAGGGACTATTACTCCCTTCCACCCACTCCTCCTCCTTCTGTCCCATCTCCTTCCACCTCTCTCATGGTCTGCTGTGGACTTTGTACATGGGTGTATTTTTGCTGTGTGTGTGTGTGTGTGTTTTAATGAAGGAGTTGCCCATTTGGCTTAATCCAGTACATTGCAGAGTGTCTTTTATTACTATACTTAAGACTGGTGATTAGGTTGGTTTTCTATTTTTTGACTATCATTAATAATACTGCAGTAAACAGCCTTGTATATGCATACATACATGTTGTTCATGTTTTTCTTTATTTTTTCAGGACAAACTTCCAGAAGTAAAATTGCTAGGTTAAAGATATACCTCTTTTTTTTTTTTTAAGATTTTATTTATTTATTTGAGAGAGAGAATGAGATAGAGCATGAGAGGGGGGAGGGTCAGAGGGAGAAGCAGATTCCCCGCTGAGCAGGGAGCCCGATGTGGGACTCCATCCTGGGACTCCAGGATCATGACCTGAGCCGAAGGCAGTCGCTTAACCAACTGAGCCACCCAGGCGCCCAAAGATATACCTCTTTTAAGCCTTTGGAACATTGTGCAAATTTACCTTCCCACTATCAGTGTATGAGAGGTGTCCACTCTTTCCCCTGTTGGCAACACTGGGTTGATTCTTTTTATTCTAATAGCTAAAGTTCTTCATATCCCAGGTGCTTCAGCATATTTCACTAATTAACAGAATTTATAGGGTTTTTTTTTTTCTCCCTTCAAATAAAGTTTTCCATTCTGTTCAAGAGTTATGTAATGCTTCCTTTTCATGTTGGATGAGAAGCAGACAAGAGGAAGGTTTATGAAGAAAGCATTTATCTGCTTAATTATGAAACACTTTTAGCACAAATTGAAATGTTTGACAGACCAGCCAACAGATGCCTTCAATACAGTATTTCAGTTTTGTAACTGATACTAATATGCATATTAGAGAAGCTAACATTTGAATACTGTTGAAGCCTTAGTGAGGTTCATGAGAAGTGGGTGCATCTAAATTGAAACCCCATTAGCATCCTCTCTTCAAAAATGGATGTAACCATCTGCTGGAGTTTGTTTTTAATTAAAATTACTCCCGCTAATACTGTGAGCAGTTTTTAAAATGAACATTAGTCCTTTAAAATCACTCCATTTTAAACTGAGGTCAGAGTTGGCTATAATTGATGATCTACCTGCACAAATAATTTCTTTGCTTAGTCCTCACGTCCAAATTGTAGTGAGATAAATTATTATTTTAAATTCTGTTTTTCCTTTTATGTGATTTTATGTGAGGTAATGTTGGGATTAAAGGCAAAAATACTGCATTTTGGATATATATCCCTGCCTTGCCAGAGTCTTAGAAAATATTACAGATCTAGTAAATTCACTTGCTCAGATTTGAGGGGTCCTTGGCAAAAGTATTTTGTTCTGGAGGCTTGGGATCTGGTAAGAAGGATTTTCTACTCTTCCTTTATTATTAAGCTGTGTGAAAATCATCAAAGAAGAGATGGAAGCATTTTGGACTTGAAAACCTAATTGCTGCTGTGCTGGGACATGACCCAGAGCACTCTCAGTAAGACCCAAGATGAGCAATATAAGATC